AGACTTCAGGTTGCAAACTCAATCTGAAGAAATGCCATCTGCTGCAGAAACGGGTTAACTACTTGGGACACGTCGTAGGAAGGCAGGGTGTGGAAGTCGACCTCGAGAAGGTACGAGCAGTGAAGCAATGGCCAACCAAGAGATGAGCATCAACTCAGGAACTTTCTTGGGCTCTGCACTTATTACCGACGTTACGTTCGAATGTTTTCGGATATCGTAAAGCCCCTGACTCGTCTCACCGAGGAAGCACGTCCCTTCCACTGGGATCCAGAATGCCGAGCCGCCTTCGATGCTCTGAAGGAACGCTTGACCGCGACACCGATTCCTGGGTATCCACTTCCACAAGGACAATCATTCTTGACACAGATGCCAGTAATATCGGCATTGGTGGAGTCCTTTCGCAGTATCAAGATGGTCGAGAGCGAGTCATCGGTTACTTCAGCAAGGTGCTATCAAAGGCTTAACGTAACTACTGCGTTACCAGGAGGAAACTATTGGCCATGGTAAAATCAGTGAAGCACTTCTATATGTACCTCTATAAACGAAAATTCCAACTCAGGACGGACCACGCTGCATTGAAGTGGCTCCTGAATTTCAAGAACTTCGAAGGCCAAGTAGCTCTTCGGATCGAGAGGCTCCAGGAATATGACTTCGAGATAGCGCACCGAGTGGGGACGAGCCATAAGAATGCAGATGCATTGTCCAGAAGGCCATGTCCACCTGAATGCTCACATTGTAGTCGCTTGGAGGATAAGGAAGCAGCCCTCTGCAGAACCACCGTTGTCAATGAAGATTGGTTACCTGCGGCAATCAAGCGAGATCAAGAAAAGGACCCAGAACTTCGGAAGCTTCGAGAATGGAAGGAAGCGAATCGCCGCCCTTCTTGGCAAGAAGTAGCACCATCTTCACAGACTTTGAAGGCGTACTGGAGTCAGTGGGCCTCCTTGGTATTAGAAGATGACCTGCTCAAGAGGAAGTTCGAGAGCGATGATGAGTCGAATAATCGGATGCAGTTAGTCATTCCTAGGAGCCGAGTATCGAAAGTACTTGAATATGTTCATGATGGAACTTCAGGGGGACATCTAGGAGTGAGGAAGACACTGTAGTGGGTACGAGAGCGGTTCTACTCAGGGCCATCTTAACAACAAGGCACGCGAGGCACGTGCCTTGGGGCCCCGGCCTCAGGGGGGCCCTGCACTAGTCTCAAATTGTTGCTTTCTGGATGCTGATTATTCCAAATTCTCATTAAAATTCAAAACCTACATAACATTATAATTATGTAGGTAGAAATATTTAAATTTTGTATAAAACACTTTCGATTTAAACGTCTTATTCAATTTCGTTGACCATCAGCCTACCCGACACTGATTTTTGCGAAGGTACACGTGACCGTATGACGTACACAACATCCAAGCTCCATATATCATTTCGTAGACGCGTAGACCGTATCCAGTTGGAATCCAACGGGCAACGAGTGCATGCATGCATAATGCGAGACTTTCTGGCGGGTGCCTGACGAATGAATACATTGCCAATTGCCATTCACCTAATATTAGTAATATTTAATATTAACGCGGTTCGGGTATTTTCGCATTTATTTGAAGTTGTTATAAAACAATAAACAATCATGTACAAAAGGGGAAAGAGTGGGAGTGAAAAACGTAAGAGGCAAAGAGAAAAACAATGTTCCAGGGAGTTGATGATGGCAAAAATACCCAAATTACAAGACTTATTTAAACCGAAAAATGAAAAATCCGATGATATGAACCAAACTGAAAGTTTTTTCTGTACTTCGAGCGGTATTTCCACTCAAGAAATAAATGACGTTATCGTCAGTGACGTGCGAGAGCAGGAAAAAGATGACACGTTGCCAGCCACAAGCATGCAATTGGACAAGAACGAATCGAATTCCAATGAGGAATCTTTGAAATCGGAAACAGAGGTATGTAATATAGACAGAAACGATCCAGCAACTTGGATAATCAATGAGTCGACAGTTGAATATATTTGCATGAACGGATATGATCAAAACATTGAAGGTGATTTTTCAAAATCTTCAGAAATTTATTCAACATCATACAACGAAAATGTGAAGAGATCATGTTCGAAGAACATATTTCTTAGACGAAAATTGAATGGAGAGAGAGTTACCCGAAAATGGCTAGTATATTCTCCATCTACAGGCAAGCTATTTTGTGTCCCATGCAAATTGTTTTCAAATTATTCATCAAATGAAAGTAAATTCGCAAAGGATGGGTTTTGTGATTGGAAAAATGTGACAACACGTGTTTCTGAACATGAGAACACTTCTCAACATCGAACATCATGCTTCAAATTGAGTGCACGTGGTAAATCTAGTCAAAGGATCGACCATCATATTTGCGAACAAATCGAGGAAGAAAAAAAATATTGGCGGGAGGTTTTGAAAAGGGTAGTGGCCACTGTCCAAATGCTGACTGCTCGCGGCTTGGCTTTCAAAGGTACCAATCAGAGTTTGGGGTCACCAGAAAACGGTAATTTCTTGGGATGCATTGAACTGATTGCCCAATTCGATCCCTTTTTAGCGAGTCATTTATCAGAATATGGCAATAGGGGTAAAGGAAATGTATCATATCTATCGGCAAACATTTGCGATGAATTCATTCAACTCATGGCAGATGAAGTTATGAATGTCATTATCGGGGAAATAAAAATGGCCAAATATTTTTCTATCAGCGTTGACTCAACTCCAGATATCTCCCACTTCGATCAATTGACTTTCATCATAAGATATGTTCAATTAAATGGAATACCAACAGAAAGGTTCATTTGTTTCATACAGAATGTTGGTCATAAATCAGAATCCATAACCGATTGTATTTTATCGTTCCTTGCCGAAAAAAATATAAACATAAAGTTCTGCCGTGGCCAAAGTTACGACAACGCAAGTAATATGTCCGGCGTTTATACTGGAGTACAAGCCCGTATAAAAGAAGTTAATCCATTGGCTCAATATGTTCCGTGTTCCGCACATTCCTTGAACTTAGTTGGTACATGCGCTGCTGAATCTTGTCCAGAGGCAGTGAACTATTTCAGTTTACTTCAAGAACTATACAATTTTTTCAGTGCATCAACCCATAGATGGGAAATATTAGATGAACATTTGAAACAAAATTGTAGATCAACTTCTCTGAAAAATCTCTCAAAAACCCGCTGGTCAGCTCGTGCTGATGCCTGTCGATCTCTAGCTATATCATATAGAGAGATTTATAATGCATTGAATACCATAGGCAATGATGTGAAAGAAAAATCTATGGCACGTGTTGAAGCAAATAACTTGGCTAAAAAATTAGACCGATTGGAAACTGCTTTGATGACTACCATTTGGAGTAATATTTTGAAAAGATTCGACCAAACAAACAAGAAACTGCAAAGTTCTGACATTGATATAGATAACGTTGTTCATTTATATAATTCACTGAGCAACTACATATTGTCGATGCGCGATGATTTTCGAATTTATGAAGAAGCAGCAAAAGATATATCCACTACCACTGAAACGAGATATGAGAAGGACTTCAAACGGAAAAAAGTGATGAATAAAAAGAACGAAGACAGAACGTCTTCAGAAGATGCCGCTCTAGCCATGGATGGAAGCCAGTATTTTAAAACAAATACTTTCTATGTTATAGTTGATACTTTGTGGGCAGAACTAGAACGAAGGGGAGCTGCATATAGAAATCTAGACAAGAAATTCAGTTTTTTAACTAAATTAGATTTGAATACTGAATTGATTAGAACATGTGCAAAGACATTGATAAATATATATAACGAAGACTTGGAGCCCGAATTTGAAGAAGAATGTATACATTTAAAAGAATATTTGAATACCTTGGAAAAAGTATCACTGACCTTCAGAAATCTCTGGGATTTATTGAAAGACTCTGACATAAGACAGGTTAATATTAAGTGACTTAGGAGAACTCAAATATCGATGAAAATCACCTATTTTTCAGGTATTTCCCAACGTAGAGGTAGCTGTCAGAATATTCTTATGCACCCATACATCGAACTGTGCAGGAGAAAGGACGTTTTCAAAATTGAAGTTAGTCAAAAATCATTTGCGTTCGACCATTGGACAGGAAAGACTCAATTCTTTGGCACTTTTGTCCATTGAAAATGAAATAACAAAAAATATTGATTTCGAGGAGATCATAAACAGATTTGCTGAAATCAAATCAAGAAAACGACATATTTAGGTTATTTTTCTCTGCATTTCACTGAGTACCTGTGTTTCCCAAAAATTGTTCTTAGTTTTAGTTACTTTTAAATAGGTACTTACAAAATATTAAATTGCTTATTGAAATAATATATTCTTAATGTTTGTTCAATATGCAAGATTTTATTTTATTTGAAATGTTTCATTACCTATTTTAGTCTATTAAAAAAATATGGGGGCCCTAAAACATCTCGTGCCTTGGGGCCCCGAAACTCTTAAGATGGCCCTGGTTCTACTGCGTGGACTGGAGTGACGACGTCAGGGAGTGGTGCCGTAAATGCACCGTGTGCTTTGCCAGCAATGGGCCTCATCGTAAACCAAGAGCACACATTAGACAGAACAATGTTGGAAGCCCTTTCGAGAGGATTGCCATGGATATCGCGGGGCCGTTTCCAGTGACTGATTCCTCTTGAGCAGGTCATCTTCTAATACCAAGGAGTCCCACTGACTCCAGTACGCCTTCAAAGTTTGTGAAGATGGTGCTACTTCTTGCCAAGAAGTGTAACGATCATTCCGTTCCATTGAGATGTTTTTCGATCAATCAACCATTTAATTCATGGCGAATGAGTAAGTCACGCTGTCGCATCGGTCCTGATAATTTACAATTTCATTGCATATTGTGAAGTGATAATTCAAGTTATAGCCTCTCGTGTCATTGAGTGAAGAGATAGATACGTTTTCATAAGATCCACGGCGCGTTTTTTTGTCCCTACCGCCTGTTTTGAATAAAAAGTAATCAACAATGGGTCTCACAAACAGGGATCTCGTACAAATAGCCACGATTGTCGAAACGAAAACAAAAACCATCTTTACTGAAGAATATTTACAAGGTGTAGTGGACAAAATTGTCAAGAAAACCCATGATAAATATGACCGAATAATATCAGAGCTTAAAAATGATATGAATTTTCTGAAAAAGGAAAACAGTGAGTTGAGAATTGCGATGGACAACATGGAACAAATATCGAGAGATAGAAATGTGCGATTTTTTGGTATTCAAGAAAATACCGGCGAAGACTTAGTTAGTGTTGTTCTGAAGGTAACTAATCATACGATGAAAGTGAAACATATTACGGAAAAAAGTATACTCAAATGTCATCGCATACCGAACAAAAACACTAACACAGATAATCCGAGTCCTCCAGCAGTACTAGTACAGTTTGTTGACACCACAGTGCGTGAAAAAATCTTGAGCAGCCGAAAAAATCTGAAATCAACAGGAATATCCATACAAGAAGACTTGACGAAGATGAGATTAACCCTGATGAAAAGCGCGATAGACAAGTTTTCGAAGAAACATGTGTGGTGTCGCAACGGCAACATTTTTGTGAAGTATAATGAACGTGTGCATCGAGTACAGCAGGAGAGTGATCTTCTACGAATCAAATAGGTACATGAAATCTTCTCTACTAATATGCACTTGAACTATTTTGCAAACATTTCTAAACACACAGTGAAATATGAATTAATCTCATTCTCACTCATGCATGTTTTTTTTTATCTACAGTTGGAATGAGACTCAACGAAATATGAACAATATCAATTGTAACCGTGGGTTGTTTATTTTATTTATTTTTTCTTAACCTCATTGAGTCATGTAATTCACAAAAATATTATTCTTTTTTGTTTTTTCAAGTTGATTACTATCTTAACCTCTATATGCCCAGAAGTCTGTAACTTTTGATTTATGTGGTTTTTTTTTTTGCATATTACCTGTTAGTTGTAACATATCATCAGATATCAACATGTGCATTTTTATTTTCTTCTCCAGCCATGAATATCTTCACAGAATTATATTCTAATATCTCGGGGCCGATGCCTGCATGATTTATGATTTTTTTTTGCTCGTGTATCCAAGTTAAGTTTAAATATTTATCTTCTTCATTATCTCGATTCTTTTCCTTATTCTTTTCTTCGTTCTCTTTCCCTATTCTCACTTCCTTTTCTCTTCAACAGAAATCTTCAGCAAACAGTAATAATTTAATCAAGAATGAAACTGAAAATTTCTCACTTTAATACGAGATCACTGGTGGCAAACTTTTTAGAATTCAAAAATGAAGTTACGGATGCAAATTGTGATATTGTGGGGGTATCCGAAACTTGGCTACACTCAGGTATTTCGAGTGATGCTGTTAATCTAAACCATTATAGATTCATTCATCAAAATCGTCCCACCAGGGGCGGAGGTGTGGGTTTATATATCAGAAATAACTTGAAATTTGATTTTCTTTTCAGTGAATGTAATGATCACGTGGAATATATTTGGGTGAAAATCATGTTAGATAAACTCACGATAGCTGTGGGAACTGTTTATCGACCTCCGAGTTCTAGTACCGTTAAATTCATGGACAGCATAGAAGATATATTTTCGAATGTATTCTCAAATTTCAATTATATCATATGTGTCGGCGATTTCAACATAAATATGTTTGATATAACTTCCAATGATTCCCAGCAGTTTAGCTCTATCCTGGAGTCTTTCAGCTTTTCACAAGTCATTAACGAACCTACTAGAATAGCAAATTCATCTATATCTCTAATCGATTTGATCATCACAAATTTTAGCTCAGATGAATATCGCTCTTGGGTAGAAACCAGCCAGGTATCTGACCACAACAGTGTATGCTGTGAGTTCGAATTGAATAGTCAGTTTAGAAACGTTGAGAAAACAATCACGTATAGGGACTTGAAGAATATAAATCATGAAGATTTTCAAAGAGAACTGCAGGTTATCCCCTGGTACCTTATTTTTGAAACTGATGACATTGATGTTAAAGTGGATATACTAAATTATAATATTATTAATCTTATCGATAATCACGCTCCCATTAAAACTTTCACCCCTCAAAAAATATGCGCCATGGATCACTGATACCATCAAAACCATGCAGAAAATTAGAGATAAAGCACTACATAAATGCAAAAAAAGTCAACTACCACACCACTGGTCTTATTATAAACAAATGAGAAATTTCACAACGAATGCAATAAAAGCTGAAAAAAAAGCCTATTTGAATTCGAAGTTCAGTAAATGCACAGACAAAGAAAAATGGCATGAACTCAAAAAACTGAATGTCACCAAAAATAAAAACTATGAAATTCCAGACTTCTTAAACAATGTACCCAGATAGCACAAAGACATCTTTAAGACATCCTAAAGACATCGTTTTCAGACGTTCACAACGTCTTTAAGACGTCTATGGACGCCTTAGAGACGTCTGAAAGACGTCCTCTATAGGCCGGATGTTAAAAATCACGACGTCTTTAAGATATCTTTATAATGTCTCTTCTGAGTCTTATAAAGGCATAGAAAAGACATGAGAAAGACCTCATTTCTGAATGGATTTCAGGGTTCCTCTGGGGATTAATTAAAGTGGAATTTGCAGGAAAAAAATAGTTGATCTTTGTGACATTTATTTGAAAAGTTCAACTACCAAGGACAGGTTTGACATTTCCAGAAAAGTTGCTGGTCCACCCTGTTTGTGATAGGAAAATTGAGAATATTCATTATGTTTCATATAACTGGTCTCTTCATTTTTTTTCTTAAAACAGGGCATCTCATCTACAGGAATACTGATTGTATTAGTCCCTCTGTTGATTGCTTTTTGTGTCAACCAAGCATATTCATATCTCTGGAAGATCCCACATTCTTCCTGAAAACAATGATATAGAGTTGAGTTTCAGGAGTTTACCAATATCATTATTAGGGAGAGTTCTTCTTACCTGACACACACAGTGGACTGTAAACATAATAAGGCATAATATACTTATTATACTCCAATGCAATCATTTGCATCCATTTGACCAGCCAAAACCAGGTGGCCCGCATTCATGAGCTCAGCTTCATTTTGGAGACACTGAATCACTGAAAAAGTGTAGACAGATTGAAATGCACAGGCTAAATGGCCAAATCATAAGAATTCTTGTTCAATAATGATAAAAACTTACAGCTTATCATTATGTTGGTATAGGTTTTAGGTTCAACATTCCAACTAGAGGTAGGTAGGTGTTCTACTGTTAAACATCAGAGATGTTATTGTCCTCTATCAAAACACAATGAACCACTGGAAAACACGGATTAAAAAAATACACAAATATCAAAGCTGCGATTGATTGAGAACTCAAAACGAAATTAACATGAACACACCTCTCAATAAACACCATCACCAAAACCAAACAATGTAAAATGTAAACAATCAAATAGTACTGGCATTCCCCGTTCTGGCTCTGGCGCAACGATCTCTCATTCGCTTGACATGGCGGTATTTTCAAATCATCCCACCCGATTTATAAAATAACTTACTCTGAACAATCTATAACCTCTATGTATTACGGTGAAGTTATAAAAATTATGAAATTGAAAATATTCTATTAGCCTGAATCAATATGATCATACCTATATTTTGTATCAAAAGTTCAACGCATATTATGAGAATACAACCATAACTATATGAGTGTGGAATTCAGGAATTCTGAGAGTGGAGAACGTTCAGATATGACACACTAAAAGTCATTATGATTAATACTTATTATAATATACCAAATATCATTATTGCTCATTTGTATTATTACGATGTCTTTAAGACGTATTCAGGACGTGAGAATCAGATATCTTTAAAACGTCTGAATGATGACATCTTGTAGACGTCTTATTCAGGGAGTAAGACGTACAGACTAAGATAGGATATAATTCAGACATCTTAAAGACGTCTTGTGCTATCTGGGTAGAGAATATAAATAAATATTTTATCGAGTCTACAAAAAATGACATGCCATTAAACAATGAATTGATTTATCATTATACCCATAATGTCAAAAATGGTATTGAAAGCGAATTTGTTTTTAGTCAAATTTCCGAAGAAACTGTCCGTGATATAATTTCAAATATAAAATCGCATGCATTTGGCAATGATGACATAAACATAATAATAATTCAACTCTGCTGTCCTCTTATAATACCCATCATCACCCATATAATAAATCAATGTTTCTCGAAAAACTACTTTCCAAACTCATGGAAGTTTGCTAAAGTCACCCCAATTCCAAAAGTTAGTCAACCGATGGAATACAGTGATCTTCGTTCGATTAGTATTTTACCTACTTGCTCGAAAATTATAGAAAGAATAATGGAAACACAAATTCGCAACTTTATGTCTTTCAGCAATATCCTACCTCCAAAACAATCGGGATTCAGAAAAGGGTATAGTTGTGCAACAGCCCTTGCAGATGTATTGGATGACATCTTAGAGGCGACCGATAAAAATCAAATGAGTATACTAATTCTTCTTGATTATTCGAAGGCATTTGATCTGATTGATCATGATATACTATTATCAATGTTACATTACTTTAGATTCAGCAAGTCAGCACGTTCTCTAATGGCTTCATATTTGCATAATAGAACACAAATAGTAAAAATCAATGACAAGAAATCCACTCCCAAGAAACTACTTTGTGGAGTACCTCAGGGTAGTATTCTTGGTCCTCTCTTATTCACATTATATACTTCGAATTTCATAGAAGTTTTGAAATACTGTAATTACCATTTTTACGCTGACGACACACAGATTTATTTTTCATTCAATTTTTCGGATCTGGCAATAGCCATTAATTATATCAACACCGATCTTCATTCATTACAAAAATTATCAAGCGATCATGCTCTGAAAATTAACCCCAAAAAATCTGTTGCAATGATATTTGGCAAAGGAAATTCATTATATGCATCGAATGATCAAATCACCCTGAAAATAGGTGATACGGAAATACCTATTAAATCTTCGCACAAAAATCTGGGCTTGACAATTGTAACGAAAAATCTCACACTTGTAGATTTTTGTTCCTTTTCGATGATACTTTTTGGTTTACCTCGTATACTGTTCGTCGTTAGTGTTAGTTGATTGGTTGAATAGTGGGAATTGGACAGGTAAGTATACCACGTGATCGTTCTGCTTGTCACATGGTTGTCGCTTCTAATCAGTTTCAAACCATTGCACTTGTGACTGGCTAATTTCAATCATTTCATGGCTTAATGGAACAGGTAACACTAATTGAATCTATCAATCAACCTTTCAGATTGGATACTAATCCAAGGATAGGTTTATATTTGATTGATAAGGTTTAATCAAAATATTAACAATGTAGATTTAATAGTTTCTCGTAAAAAGTTGAAAGTTTGGCAACACCACACCACATGAGTCTGCGTTTTGAATAAAATAATAGGAGCACGGAAAAAGAAAAGACGAGCTCGCTCTCTTCCTGAAATATCTGTCCTAGAGTGAAGACGCTTGACAAGGTTTTTCTGATAAAAAACCTGATACAGGTAATGAATGGATTCTTTATCGAAGTTTTGATGCTTTGATTTTTCAATATATCAATTTAAATTGTAGC